AACCTGACGACCACAAATGTGATGCATTCAAAATTTATGATGGTGAGATTTCATGCAAGCAGATGGTTGGATGGATTTAGGTGTCCATCATCAGCACAGTCAGCTGAACGTAGTGGGCGTCTGTTAACTGAACATTTAATGCAATTATGACCTGCTGTGTGGTACACACCATTTAATTGTCATGGTTTTGTAGTTTCTGGACTGATGAGCAGATTCGGACAGCCGGGAAAAGTTTGAACAGTTTATTTAAAACTGAACAATTGATGGAAGCAGACTGATGGAACAGGTGCTAGCTCCCTTCACTGAGAGGGAGAGATGATATTAGCAAGAGCTGATAATAAAAGGTTGTCTGTATGTACAAGAGTCTTACTTATGTGTCCTTACTTGGAGTTAGTTAGATTGAGAAGAGAGAGGGGGCACAGGGGATCAGGCTGGACTCTGGAGATGAGAGAAGGTTGAGTGGAGACTGGGCAGGCAGGTGTGCTTCTGTGAGCTGAGAACTAGGAAGCAAACAGAGCAAAGGAATTATTGAGGGGTAAGAACAACAGCTAGAGATTAACAACCATGGTGGAGAAAACGATCTGGCAGAGAGCGACTTACACAGCAGGTCCTTAAACACTCAGCTAATGATGAGCTATGAGCTCCAGATGGATGAAAGTAACTTAAGGGTAGTTTCACCCACAGGTGGAGACATGAGGAATCTGCCCACCTCTAAACCTGACACAAGAGAGAGAATCTGATCACAAACAAGCCCGTGCACTTTATGAACACAACCTGCTGATTGTGTTAGTGTAGTACAGTTTAACTACAGTGTCAGCTCATGAGTTAGCAGCCCAGCCTCCACATTGTGTCACTTATGGCCAGAGTTATTGTAGTTTTGTATTTTTATGTATTTTTATTACTGTTTAGTTTTTTTCCAGAGTAGATTTTCTTGTTTCATCCCAGTTTATATTGTTTAGTCTTTATTGGTTTCAGTATTAATTTTAGTCTTTTTTATTATTATTGTATGGGGGGCATATGTCAGAGGCAGGATTTAGAAAATCACTGCAGACATTACAATACCAACACAGAACCTTCTGAAAGCAGCCGACTCACAGTGTTGTAGACATCCAGAAACTCAGTAAACATCAAACCCTCATCAGACACTGTAATAAGATTTTTAACAAGCTAAAAGAACAAAACTAAGAACATTCCCTCTGTAGCTTTTATTACATGTTAGTTGGTTTTCCAAGTTCACAAACTCATTTCAGTTAGTTTACTTTATGTTCTGACTCTGCATTTAATGGTCACAGAGCAACAGACTCTGGACAGGTCACTGACCTGTCACATGGCTCTTTGACAGAGTGGAACGAAGCCAGAGTACAGAACACAAAACTCCCTCTGACTGGATCCTTGTTGTTGAGAGGGAACCATAATAATCACTGCACCATCCTGAACACAGTAAATCCTAAGATGCTGTTTTACATAGTTAAACCAATAAACTGTTTATTAATATCTGTATGCACCCTATTGTTTAAGTCACAAATGACAAGTAATGCAAAGCCGAGCTGACATGAAAACATGGAGAAGGTTCAAACAAAAGTTTCACTGCACATCAACACTGCAGTAAACCTGTGAGAGGCTCAGACGTCACCTGTGTGGGACTCAAGTAAATGTTAAAGTAAATGAATGTAAACACTGCAGTAAAAGGATCTGGGTGGGGATCCTGATCCTTCTGTGCTGCACAGATGGTGAACGTAATAATAACTTTCACACACAAAGGTGCTGAGAGACACACAAAACTGCCCGAACAGGTACAAACAAAACCTGAGTAAACAATGAGACTAACTACCTAACGAACCAACTAAACAACTTCACCTGTATTTTACTGCATTCAGCACCTCTGTAACGGTTAGAATATCAGCTCCAACGTATGTGCTGTGCAAAGACACCAATAATCAGGTTGCTACACTGATGTTTTTATTCTTGATTTTTTACTGTGTTTACTATTCTTTGATTATCTGCAAAATACACAAAAAGTATTGAAAGTATTCATTCTGTCCTAAAATGAAGAATTACTGTGATATTTTAATAGTGATGTGAACATGTAGTGTTGTGATGGTAGCTCAGTGGTTCCTAACCTGTCATGGTCCTGTGTTTTTAGTTTGGGAATTTCTATTTTTTAATTTTTTTTAAATATTCTTTGTCAGTTCTTAGTTTGCTCTCATGTTCTATTTAGTATCTTCCATTTATTTATTTATTCATTTGCAAGTTAAGTTTCATCATTTATAGTATTTTTGCAGTTTGAAGGTCAGTTAGTTTTCTGTGTTCTTTCTGTTCTGGGTCAGTTTGCACGTATTGATTTCCTTCTTTCAGTTCTCGTGTTTCCTGTGTTGTTAATTCTCAGTTTCTATGTTAGATGTTCTTTTATTTTATCACTTCCTGTTTTATTCTGACAGCCTCCTGTTCTTACATTTAGTTTTGCATCCTCTGCCTCAGTTGTGTCACATGTGATGCTGTCTTGGCCTTTCAGAGACTGCAGGTCATTGTCTTTCACATTGTAATCTGTGTTGGTTTTAGCGTTCCTCACAGCCACATTCAGTGAGGTTGGGTAAAATGATAAGGCCAGGCATTTGACATCATCCCAGGCCACTCTGTTCACAATGTAACAATGCAAAGAAGCTGTTCCTGTTTCAGCTCCTGTTTTAGTCTGACCTGATTTCTAACTGGCATCTTTCTCTTTTCAGTCCCTAACTCCCCATCTTTCTTACTTTATGTGATCAACCTGGTTCATCCTGTCTGCCTTGGCAAAGAGAGAGGGAGACACCAAAAGTGTGGAGTCAGAGTGGTCCATGAGCTGCTTGTTGATTGAGCTGACTGTCCATAACGACCCTTTGGCCTCAGGCAGGTACTCCTGATTAGTCAGTCCACTCCTGGTCCTGTGTTAACAGAGTAACAGGTCACATCCTACACCCCCAAGAAAGAAACCAGTAATCACAGAAATGAGGTAAAGGTCTTAGCATTCATATTAGCTAAAAATATGCTAATCAAACTAAGACTGTAGACAGACACTGCCACATGTAGAGTATTTGTCAGTTATGTACTGACCCTTTTTCCTTCACTATGAAATTTCAACTTGAAAAATGACATCAGAAAGTCCAGCTTCAAAATAAAACTGAGGACCACCTCCACACCAACAACTCAAGGGGTGTATGTGATATTTAGTTAGTGATGTTCACTAACTAACAAACACAGACCCAAAGTGTGGTTCTGCTGTGGTGGCAGATGATCAGACTGCTTCTTCGCTGCTTTGAACAAAAAAACACCAGAAGGAGCTTCATCCCATCCACCATCAAACATCAACCACATCTTCACAGGTTTTTGACCCAGTGTTTTTCAGTTTGAGTTCAAATTTTTACTAAATATTCTCCAACCTTTAGTTTGGTTTTTATGTATTTTAGAGCTTTTGTTTTATTTCTTTTGTATGCTTATTTTTGTTATTTGTGGTTTTGAGTTCAGTTTTCATTTAAGGCAACTGGCAAGAGTGAAATATTTTCTTTCCAGGGAGCACCTTGAAACAGTGAACCATGCTTTTATTTCTTCCCATCTGGACTACTGTGACTTACTTTATTTGGGGGTCAGTCAGTCGTTGTTGTCTGCAGCTGGTTCAAAATGCTGCTGCATGACTCCCAACATCCATCCATCCATCCATTCGCTTCCGCTTATCTTTTTCAGGGTCGCGTGGAGTGCTGGAGCTGGTTGTTTTAAAGTGCCTTATGAATAAAGTGATGATGATGATCAGTTAATTTTGCTTTGTAGTTTCTGTTCTTGGTTATAGTTTGGTGTTCCCTTCTCCTTCCTCCTGTTCTCCGTTTCCATGTTAGGGGTCCTGTTGTTTTGCTTCCTGTTTTATTTTGGGAACTTCCTGTTCTTTGTATCTGCCTCATTTGCACTATCTGTTCATAATGTCTTTACCAAATACTTTGGAATTTTATATTTCTTCTAAAAAGATAAATCCATCCATTCTTTTTCACTTATCCAAATCAGGGTCACTGGAGCCTATCACAGCTGCGAGAGGCAGGGTACACGCTGAACAGGTCACCTAACACAGAGCGACAGACAACCATTTGCACTCACACTCATGGACAATTTAGACTCCAATCAACCTAACCCCACTAACTGCATGTCTCCACACAGAAAGGCTAGATGGTAGAGTTGTTTGAATTCAGCTCTCTGTAGATATATAAATTTAATTTCCATCCAACTATGTAGCATCCTTTTGTTGGTAACATATTACCTGGTTCCTATCAGTGTAGATATCCAGCACGATTTGTATCCCATTAAGATCTGATGTGCCTTTGCGTTTTTAAGCTGTATATTTACTACAACTGAAAACCACGGTGACTGGCTTGGCGACTGACGAATGAATCAAATCAGAAAACTTAGAATTCATCTTGTCACTTCATCAGTAAACAATAATGACCCAGTTTTCACAAAGCCATACAATAATACTGCCTCCACTTTGACAGATGATGTGATGGGCTTCAAATAATAAGTCATGTCTCTCCTTCTTTATACTTTTCTCTTCCCATTATTCAGATAAAAGTTCAACTTGGTTTCTTCAGATACTTTTTCTGATCTCTGCAGTCTCTTCTTTTAGGTGTTTTCGGCAAAGTCTAACCTGCCCCTCTCCTTGAGTCTTCCCAAGGTGGTTATACACACACACACACACACACACACACACACACACACACACACACAATTTTACTCCGAGATCCTTGAACAGTGTGACAACTAATAATGTATTGGGACATGAAGAATTAAAAGCATGAACATGATTTTCATTATCAAACATCTATAACATTCAATGGAGTGTGTGTATCCTGATTCACATTTATTGGTAAATGGTAAATGGCCTGTATTTATATAGCGCTTTATTAGTCCCTAAGGACCCCAAAGCGCTTTACATATCCAGTCATCCACCCATTCACACACTGGTGATGGCAGCTACATTGTAGCCACAGCCACCCTGGGGCGCACTGACAGACCAGCTCAGGGTCATAATTAATGTACGTTTAGGGTTAGAAAACAAAAGAAAAACGTTTTCCTTGTTTGGAGCATTCTACAGTTGTTATTTGCTGTTATCAGACAAATTTCTTTTTAAATATTATTTAAATATTTACTGAAATATGAGCGCAGCTGGAAACACAAATCCATCCAGAGTATTGATTGTGTGTCCAAATCAAACATGCGGCGCTACCCGCTGTGGCAACGGAGCAGGTAAAAGTAGTTTTCTTTATTAGTAACATGTTATGTACCAAGAGAAGGTGGAGCCATTTCTCTGCTCCGTCCTATTAAACTGCTGCAGAAGAGGAAAAAACAGGAGGACCACCTCTGATCTCTTATGGAATAAATACAACAGTTTTTATTTCATGAAGAAAGCATTGATGCACTGCATCTGTTTTCATTCAAATAGAAAAAAAAAATCCCCAAATGCCCTGTTTCAATGTTGAAAAGATGCCATTAGACAGGCAGCTAGTTAGTGTAGTGGTAAGACTACACACCTCTGGATACCAGGTAGGTATCCTTACAGGATACCCACCTGGTATCCAGTCACGGCCCTGGCATCCCCCATGCTAAAAACCAGCCCTGGAATGGCGCAGCTACGTCTGCAGTTCAGGACACAAGCATTTCACTATATGTTGTACTGTGAATGTGACAAAATTTGTTTTTGAATGGGGTTTGTGTATCAAGTATTGAGCACTGAGTCATTTATACTTTTATTTTTATATAAAAATATGGGGTGATTAGGATTAAAGTATAACAAAAATGGCTACATCCCTCCATCCTGACATTTAACCATGTGCTAAACCACAGGATTAAAATCTGTTCTGAACTTTTAAACTGCTGAAAATACCAAAAATAATCCAACATGTCGTCACTGTTCTGCTCAAAAGCTTAACTTGGTTCTCATAAAACAAACACATAAGCTACACACACACTGTACTTCACACTTTGGGTTCACTTTGATCAGTGTTGATTTTCTGTTTCTCGAAGGGGGGATTCTGTTTCTTCTTGTCTTTCTGCAGATTGGAAAACAAAACTGTGTTAAAAAGTCATAACTGAGCAGAAATATAGTGCTGTGAATCTAAGTAATGGAGTCCACGATGACACATGAGTAAGTTTGAATTATACTCGTTGCTATGGTAACATAAGTACAGCAATCAAATTCACCCGATTTTATTATGATTACATGACAAAACGCTAAACTGTCTTTATGAATAAATCGTGATGTTTGCTGTTTAACCATCTTCATCAGCTTCTGCAGTGTGTTCCTCCTCTTTCCTCACAATAAGCTTTAGTTCATTTCAGTTTGTTTCATTAATATATTCAAAAATAAAGTGAAATAAGCAAGATTGTAAAAATGACGGTCACACAAAAATATGAGAATGTTCATGAATACATTAAACTTACTTTTTTTATTCTTGATGTAACACCTGAGAAGAATCCCAACTACTACAACAGCAAGAACAACAGCAACAGCAACAGCAACACCAGCTACAATCTTCCATCCAGTGTTTGGTTCTGGAACTGAAGAGAAAACATTGGTGTAACTCAGACTGTGACTGCATGTCAGGAACAAACAGCAGGTTTAAACAGCGAGCTCAGTGATGTCAGCATGGATCCAACTTCCTGTTTCCTCCTGCTCGTCTCCACAGCTCACAGGCTGGCTCTAGTTCTGCTCTCAGCAGTAGAGATGTTGGAGTTTTGTTTTGTATGAAAGATGTTCGAATCTGTGCTGCTGCTCACAGACTCCTGCTTTCTTTTTACTGAGCCTCACATCTGACAACATGTGTGAGTCTGTCTGTAATTGAGGTTTCCTCCACCCTGAGCTTCTTAGCTACACACATCATTAAAGTGAATCTCTTCAGACTGATGATTCCAGAAAACAAGGAATATGAATCTGTCAGTGAAATGACCACCTGCTGCCAACAAATGACTCTCTGCACTGGAGGATTTTGGACTGTTAGGATTGATTTTTTATGCAAAATCATTTTCTTGTTGTTATGTTATATTTAATCATCTGGCATGAATATTACATTCAGAAATACTGAGCATTAAGATGATTTCTACTATTTTATTATTTTTTTTAATGATACGAATGCATACAGTATGAATACATGTGGATTGTCATGCATGTCCCTGCAAGGGCGACTGTAGATACATAATTATGCATTTAATTGCTATGAAAAAGTATTCACCCCTTTCTGATTTCCATGTTTACTTTAACCATATTTTTTAAAGCTCTGTTCCTTTTCACTAAAAACACTTAGGCCTGATTAGATTATTGCCAGATCTGATGAATCAAAAAAATCACCTACACAGAACCTATCTGACAAAGTGGGCTAAAAGTTCTCAAAAACCACCACGTCATGCAATGATCTACAGAAACCACTGAAAAACAAAGTCACTGTCACCTATTAGTCTGGAAAGGCTACAAAACCATGGATAAGGCTTTGTGACTCCAGCGAACCACAGTGGTGATGGTGGCTGACCAAATTACTTTTAGATGCTATTAGAGCATCGATGACTCATCCAGGAGGTCACAGAAGAACCCAGAACAAATTCTTCAGAATCAAAGGCCTCACTTGCCGTAGTTCTTCAACAATAAGAATGAGACTGGGGAAAAAATGAATCCATGGGAGAGTTCCAAGGAGAAAACAACTTTTGAGCAAAAAGAACACAAAGCCTTTTGTCACATTTGCCAAAAAAAAATATCTTTACTTGCAATTCAATGGACTCATCCAGATTATCCTTCACTCACCACATGTATAGAAAAGAGCTCAATTACTCTGGGACCTCAGTGAAAACTTGTTCATCTTTACTATAAAGTATATGATTGGCAGTCCTATTCCATTGTTGGCTCTAATGCATTAACATTAGTTTAGAAAGTCCTCTCAGACTTCCCTCTCTTATATATATTTTTAATATTTGCTGCTGTGTTTGTATCCTTAAGTTTTCTGTGGGTTGCAGCAATGGTTTGGCACTTCATATGATTGGCTGGATTTAGGGACAACAACAGACGTTATTAAAATAGTTTGATGATTTGCTATCAGGAAACTCCCAGAATATAGGAAAATTACTTCTTAATGAGACAGAGCTCAGAAGTGTAATGGGTGTCATCTCACTTTTTAGCATCTGCCCTCAAACATTTGCTACAGCACATAAAAAATAAGGAATATAATCACACTGTGCATCATGTTTGTAACACTGATAACTGCTCATAATGATACCTGTAAGAGGTCTTGTATACAAACAAAAAAAAAACCTCATTTATGAGTTGAATTCAGACTAAAGTTACTTTTTGCTTCAGCTCCAGTGAATCTGTCTGCTGCAGTGTTTTATCACACACCTCTACTTTTTTCACCTGAGAAACATTTTCCAGACATCTGTCTTTATGATTTCATTAGTTAATATTTAGCTTCTTTCCAGACATCATTCTGTGTATTCAGTCTGAGCACATTTCACATTTTTGAAAAACAACAATTACTTAAAACATTTTAAGATTAAAATTTCACTCACCATTCAAACGCACATTGATTTCCGTATGTGCCTGATGCCAGATTTCCTTCTGTGTGGCGACACAGTGATAGCGGTCGGTCTTTGTCACATTAGTTTTGAGGGTGATGAAGAAGCGCTCTCCTTTTTTAGAGACTTGTGGCTCCTCTGAAGGAATGGTTTGATTGTTACTGTCCCACCACTCGACTGTAGGTTTGGGGGAAGCACCTTTAACAACACACTTAAGGAGCGCCCAGTCATTTGTTTCATCAAGATTTGTGACAGAAGGCTCTGCAGCTCCTGTGAACACACAATAGTAATATTGTATAATTATTATTTTTTCATGTTTAGCTACTCTGAGTGCCAATGTGAGGTTACTAACTCAATACTGCCTTACAGGACAGTATTGATGTTTTAAAAAGGAATTTAATTTCAAAATTTTTACTCTAAACAACATTTTAGACTCACATGCAGACATTTATACAGAAAAAAGGTTTGGATATCTCTAAGTTTATTTAGAGTTATACAGAAAAAGATAGGAAAGTGCCAGCAAAATGGCAAACACATCATCAAAAATCTGGCACTGTAACCTGGATAACTACTTAAGGAGGATTTCAGTGTTATTTATTATTGCTATAAACATGAATATAAATAACTACTTGAACAATTGTAGATGTTACAGAAAATAAAGCAAACCCACCTGCAATCTCCAAAACAATTCCACTAGTCTTAGAAAACTTATTGCTAGAAGTTGCTGTAAATTTTAATTACATTGAGAGGGATAAGATACTTTTTGAGCATATGTATCTTAAAAGGTAGTTTTCTACTTGGATTAATAACTCAATGCAGACGATTAGGAGTGAGTAATGAGTTCACATATACACACGAGGATGCGAATATCAGTGACGTCAAAGGCAGGACTCACCTGAGATGCTTCGGACCTTTAACTTTTTAAAACGCAGAGGTTGTATGCGACCCAAGTTTGCATGGTAATATTAATAGATAAACATAATGTATATTTTCATGATGACCGGAAACATAGACACGGACATGTTATACGTCGTTTCAAAGTTCAGATGTTTATCTTTCAGTAGATTCATGAACCTCAGTAAAGAATTTACGAAATAAAAACAGCAACGTCTTAATTGACGGAAGTAAATACTTCGTGACCCTACTTCTACCCATTACAATCAATGTTAAAAAGCCGTTTATTGGACCAAAAACGGATTTTTAAAAACAAACAATTGCTTGTTTAAAGGGAAAACCCCCCACGGATTAATTTCAGTTCGTTTGCGTTCAAGCGGGAGTAAAAAGAACCTGAAAAACAGTAAATTTGTTTTGTCGGAAAGTTTTATCGGAGCTACGCAAACTAATATAAATGCGGTTTTAAAGCCAATTTTAAGCGATTGTTAGATTATTTCACCAATCAAGTTTGGTATCGCTGAAATCCTTAAACGCCCACGAACATCAATAATCTATCAGCATCTTCCGCCAACGTGAAGCGACGCGCCATGGAGACCGTTAATCCAATCAGCCAATCAGAAAAACGAATCTTATACCAATCGCACGGCAGTTTGATTGACAGCTGCTGTTATCCAATAGAAAGTTAAGGCAATGAAACCACTCTCCCTTTGAAACCGGGAAAATCACCTGTCTGACCATATATGGAAGTTTACGTAGTTAGCCTCGCTGTTTCAATGGAACGAAACGAAATCATAGAAAACTTTTTTATCTTTGGAAAATACCCGATTAGAAAACAAAGAACAAAACAAAATCATGATTTTAGTTATTTAGGAGATGGTTTTGTGGTTAAGTTTAGTATTTAAGAAGATTTAAAGTGCAAAAAACAAAATGAATCATTATTATTTGTTAACTTTGAAGAGATTTTTTTGGGCGTTTTGAGGCAATTGATTAGAGATGCTCGGCTTTGCGCTTTGAACTAAACTGTAATATCTTAAAGCCTTCTCTGTATATCAGCATGAAACTTGGTGCATTTATCGGAGACAGAATGAAGAGGATATGCTGTCAATTTCAGCCTCCTAGCCCTTATAATGACTGATTAATTCTAGTTAACATCTTAAGTAAAAGGTTAAAAACATCAAGGCTTCAGTCATTTCCTGTATAATCCTCTAACAAATGACCTGTGTTAGAGCTAAAGGTAAAACTGACAGACTACAATAATTATCACAGATTTTAGTTCACAGTGATGAAACAGGCAGGTATCAGATATTTATGATTTGGAAATTTTTCTTAAGTTTATTCTGGTAGTTACAGACATGCAGAAGTGCACATGCCTGTGAGAGGCTCTAACAAGTTAATATGGGCTCTGAAAGGAGAAAAAAGCACAAATATTAGAGGTGACTGTGTTATTATCAAGTTGGCAGTCAGATAAAACTGGAGAAAGGAAACTCAGAAGTGTTAATCTGCTATATTAGCCATATTTTATAATCCTAAACTAAAAAAAAAAAAGAAGAAAGAACAGTCACATATTTCATAATTGTCCTTATACATTTACACAAGAGACTGATTTATGGTGGTGGATGTATTATAATGACACAGTCAGAAAACACCCTGAACAGCTGTGTGTCTGATATATCAGGAGAAGTGAGAATTTGTTTATTCAGTGTTTACAGTTGCATTGACAGAGATTTATTCTGTTTAGTAAAGACTGAAAAAACCTGTGGGCACCTCAGATCTTTGACAAGCAGATTTACCAAATATTGATAATATTTCTGCAGGTGTGCTGTGGGGGTGAGACCCTGCCAGATGTGTGTACTGACTGTTTCATCTGCAAGTAATCAGCTGATTTATAACAGCACTCACCAACAGCAAGCTCAATGTGGAATCTTATACCACCAGACTGACTTTTTGGAAAAATACAAATATAGTTTCCTTTGTCCTCTAGCCTAGTGTCTGTTATTTTTATGGAGGCGTTGCCATTCTTCAGCTCTTCTGGAAAATGTGAGACTCGACCTTTGAACTCTGCAGACTGATCTTCAAGGTCATTATTATGATGTGTGCCATTATTGTACGTGAACACCTGCTTTCCGTCTTTCTTCCAGTCAAACACCATTGACTCAATGGTCTCACTGGTGCCGAGGGAACAGGGTAAAATAGCATCAGCATCTTCTTTCACAGTCACTCTGGCCACAGGTGTCCCTGAAATACAGAACATGAATTAAACAGTGTGTTTTCATACAGATTGATGAGGACAGAAGGAAAAAAAATTGTAAAATGGCCTGCATTTGTATAGCGCTTTACTTAGTCCCTAAAGACCCCAAAGTGCTTTACACGTCCAGTCATCCACACACTGGTGATGGCAGCTACATTGTAAATGGCCTGTATTTGTATAGCGCTTTTACTAGTCCCGCCTAGGGACCCCAAAGT